TTCGTCGCCGCATGGACAGGAGGGTGAGGCGAAGCGACCGTAGAAGAGGGGGGTTGCCAGTGGCGATGCCCGTCGGCGCTGCCCTCTGGCCGGGTCAGCGCAGCTTCGACAGGGCGCAAGGAGGGGCGCCAGGCGCCGCCCCGTTTGGGCAGCGGCGCGCGATTCACCTGCGTGGGACGGTGCGGCGGGGTACCGATTCCCAGCCGTGGCGACGAGGGACGCTTGTGGTGTCCGGTGGTGCCCTTCTGTTCTACAATTTTTCCGTGGCGACGAGGGCCCTCTCCCCGCGCCGGCATTCCTAGTGCCGCCACGCACATTGGCCGAGGCGCCACCGAACAAGAGTCGGACAGCAGGAACGCGACCTTCCTGGGCCCAGCGGGACCCCGGGGGGAGGGGGCCTGGAAGACCGCCGGGTCCGGGACGATGTGGTGCAGGAGCGGGGGGTCCTGGCCAAGGGTTCGTTTGCCCGCCTTGGGGGCGACTCTACCTCGTGTCGATGCAGGCGGCCGTGGCAGTGGGGTCGTTGGCGGTCTTGGTACTCGACCCTTTATCATACATAAACGCGTGTGTGTGTGTGTGTGTGTGTGTGTGTGTGTGTGTGTGTGTGTGTGCGTTGCTGCCTTTGCCGTCTACCCCAATTCAGCGACGTACGTTTCGTTTTTTTGGCAGGGTGCTTGTCCAAACGTGGCAGGTAGGATTCAGGCGAGACGTCTGGGCCTGAGCGTCGCTCTCCTGGACTTCTGATTCTCCGTTGCAGCTCGGACTCCACCTCTATCTACAGTGCCATCATCATTGCGATGCAGAAGGCATCGCGTTTCGGCGCTCCAATGGGGGAGCCACCAGGGAGTGTTACATATTGTTTTTGACCGGAGCCGTGGGTGGGAGGGACATTGACTCGGGGTAGAGGTTAGTAGAGTGGTCGGGGTGGGTAATATTATCCAGGAACAGTGATGCACCCATCGCCGAAAGGCGAAGAAGGGCGTTGGACAGGGAATTACATTTGACCACCTCCGACCAGAAGGCGGGTGGGACATCGAATTTGGATACCTCATGCGATAGGTTGTCTGGGTCGATCCGGCCAAAAGCCACCTGACACATCCTTGTAATTCTGGGTTTTAAGATGCCGCGCGAGAGATGGTCCAGCCCGTTTTGCTTCAGGCATCCTCGCCATTCCTTTGAGGCGGTCTAGCCCGTTTGGCTTGAGACATTCCTGCATGTGTGGGCTCGGAGATGCCCCGCGAGAGGTCCAGCCAGCTTCCACCCAGACATACTCGCCACTCAGGGCCCCTGGATGCCCTGACCTGAGGTGATCCAGCCAGTTTCGCTCAACCCTTCGTCGCAACTCTGGGCTCGGAGATGACCTGGCCTGAGGTCTTCCAGCCATCTTCGCCTGGCACATTTTCGGTACTCTGGGTTCATGTATGCCCTGCGATGCCTCCCGTGATTCGATTCCGTTTGTTCGCAATTATGGGTTCGGATGTGCCTTGGACGATTGAGCTATCCCTTGAGCTTTGGGTTCATGTGTTTCTATCGTGACCTCACGTGGCCCAAGTCTTGCTTGCCTCAGACATCGTTGGAATTGTGGGATCGGAATGCCCTGAGCCGAGGTGGTCCAACTAATGTCGCCCGAGATCTCTTCGCACCTCTGGGCTCAGAGTCAGAGATATCCTGTCTTCGGTGTCGCCGATGACCCATTCGATAACTGGGTCTTGTGTCATATGAGCAGTCGGGAGGACAGGAATCTTCCTTGCTGCCAGTGGCAACCTTGACAACCCGGGCCAGTTGCCGAACGGACAAACGGAACTTGGCATTTCTTGGGGCGCGCTCACGGATTTCTTGGTTTTCTTGGACCCGCGCGATTCAGATCAGTGCTGATCCATGTTGAGGATTCGAAGGGTGGAGACCCTCGCCCTCGGCGACAGCCAACGAAAGTAACCCGAGGGCGGCTCAGCTGGCGGAAGCTCGGTGGAAGTTGGCGGATGTAAATTGGGAACACATCATGAGAGGTCAACGCTGGCTTCACTCAAGTTTTCGGAGGTTGCCAGCTGTCGTCCGTTCGTTCCCCCCTGTAGTTTCCATTGCTCGGGCTTGAGTGAAACACTCTGAGTTGATCACTGTGCCGAGCTCGGCCGTCCAACTCAATGATCAAGAGTATCTCGTGGGTGTGTGAAGCCCTTGCTTCATTCTGGCATCTCCCACATCTCATGGTCGTGGCCGCTGGCTTGAAGAGCCTGGGTAAGCATTGGATCACTGCCCACACCATGGGGCTTGCGCCGCCAGGTGTGCGCAAGCGTGCCACCACTGCATGATGATTCACACGAGGGATTCAGGGGCACCGTAGTCGTTCAGAGCAACGCCCCTGCCCGACCGATCCTGCCCCCCATCGCCACCGGAGGAGCCGTGGTCCTCTCCCGAGGCCTCCGCGGCGGAGATCCGCGCCCTCGCCCAGAAGCTGCCGCGCGACGCCCCCCGGGGCGTGCGCGAGTTCCTGGCGGCCTGGGCCGCCCGCCCCGCGTCGCTCCCCCCGCGGAGCAGATCACCTCGAGGAGGATGAGGAGGCGGAGGAGGAGGGGGAGGAGGAGGAGGCGGAGGCGGAGGAGGAGGGCGGAGATTTTTAGATTGCGCATCTGATTCGCCTGGTGACGGTCAGAGAGAGAGCGGCGCTGCGGCTAGCAGACTTAAAAGGCTGCACGGGCACCAAGTGAACAAGTACAGTACAGTACCTCCATCCCACCACTCATGAAATGCACAAACCCACCCAGTCCCATAGTATTAACTGCGCCAGCGACTGGATGCGAGGCAGCAATGTGGCACTGGCAAGGCGCGGCCACTGTCGACTGGAGGCATTTGGCATGGACAGCTCCTGCGTCCGTACTAAAACTCGAATCTCGCACCAAGGCAAGGTATATCTCAGCACACAGTTCGGGCTTAACGCCGAGTGCAAGTCCCACCTCCAAAACATCCTTAAACAACCCACCAACCTCCACTAGTCATTAAACGCCAGCTTGGCTGATTTTCAACCGTGGTCAGGAGAGAGCGTACGGAACAACAGAGGGGCGGTCCTGCCACGGTGTTCCCAACTTTCCCTGTCCGCCAGGGCTCGATTCTCTCTGATCACAGCATTGGAGAGGGAGGGCAAGATGGGGAGAGAGGGCGGCTGCGTCTGACTCGCTGCAGTCTCATTCGATCCGTCCGACTAGGTCTCGTCTACCAACGGACCTAGTTGCTCCACTGCCAACTGTCTGAGCTGGAGAGACTGCACTCTCACCCCTCCCGACGACTCCAAACCTTGTCTGCAAGGCAACAGCAAGAAAGGCTGGCGGCAGGCGAGGGCTGCGGCGTGCAGCCGCATGAGCACCTGGCTGGCGGCCGCGCGGACTGACGGACACACGGGGGTTCGGTGCCACACGCAACGGGTGTGTGGTTAGCGACGGTCTACGCTCACCGAGCCCCCTGCCGCTGCCCCCCACGGGCCAAGGCTTGAAGCTTGGCATTCGGTCGGTGACAGAAGCACGGGGGCGCACCTCTGTCCAGGTTGACGAGGAGAGAGAGGCGGTGTAAAGAAACAAACGGAGGGGAGAGGCGAGGAGTCGCTCGCTGCTACACTGCCGCGCCGCTCGCTCGCGCCGGGCGGCGGGGGCGGCGGGGCGTGCGTGCGGCGGCGGGGCGGCGGGGCACGCGCGCGCGCCCTGCCCTCTGCTCTCCCCCACGTCCGCTGCAGTCCTCTAAACCTCATCCTCCACTCCTCCAGGGCGGCACGAGCCACAGTTGCGGCCTCGCCAGCAACTCCAGTCTGCCTGGCTCTCAGGACGCTATACCGAAGCCTGTCACATCTCACGCCAAAGCCGAGCGGTTGACCAACTGACCCATGGGCATACTCCTCTTCCAGAGGGCGCATCTGGTCCTGGGTCTTAGGAGCCTGGAGGCGTTTGCCAATGGCGGCGGCCATCTGGGAGCACGGGTGAAATAGATAGGGATCAACACGTACACACAGGCACGAGGGGAATTGCAAGCTCGAGCGAGCAACCACACGATATGGTCGGCAGCAGGCCCAAAGAGGCAAGCCGTTCAATGGTAACTGCAAGCTCATTTAACGGGAGGGGAAGTATCCCACGGAACCTCCAACAAGGGGAAACTGGCAAAACCAACGTCAGCTTGCAAGAACCATAGCATCATCCACAGGCTGTCTAGGTATCGCTTGTACGACAAAGTACTGGCAACGGGATGGTGGAGTAGGGGCAAACGGGCATGGGACAGCGAGGTGCACTGACAAAATCAACAACCTCCCACCTCCTCATCATCAACCTAAACCCATCCCAATCGGTGTGCATCGAGCGACGTTAGACCTGGGGCATGTCCAAAACACCTGTTCCGAATCCAGGCTGGAATGTCCAGGGAGCGATGCGTTGAGCGAGCCGTAGACGGCGTCGCTCTCGAGCCTGTGCTCGATTAGCCGCAATACGTGCACGCAACGCATCAGTCAACTCTACGGGCTGAGGGGGGAGCGGAGGGGGAAGAGGACGCGGTAGGCTCATGCAGTGGCTCGGAGTCCCCTGGCTGAGGGGGTATGGTGCCATCGAGGAATGCCAAAGCGTCTGCGTATTCCTGCTCTTCCGAGGCCTCGATGGGCCCTGGGGGGCGGGCCTCGGCCTCGGGATCAAAAACAACTCCAGGCATGGGCTGAGAGGACGACTGCGGCTCAGGTGGCAGGAGCCGATGTCGCTCGGGATCCGCTCGAGTCCGACTAGCACGCGTCGACGCAAAATCTGGGGCCCAGGACTCGTCCGTACCGACGTACGGGTCCCATGAAACGTAAAAAGCTGCAAGCGACCCACGGAGCTCCTCCTCCTCCTCCCTCATGTCCTCTGGCCAATCATGCTCTGCACACGTCACACGCATATGATTGACTGCGTCCATTATGCTGTCTGCGAGAACTTGACATAGGGCCGGAGGGTAGGTTTTCTTTTTGGCCGTGCGCCACTCGTCACGTCGCCTGTCGAACCCCATGAGTACCTCGTGAGCCCCACGTCCGTGAGAACAACGTCCGCGCCCAGGTGTCTCGCACAAGCGTCCGTGCATTGTGCCCATGCGCAGTGCAAGTATCCTTGTAGGTGCACGTGCAACCTGACCGTGCTCGCACTGATCAAAGTCGGTCACCGACGCTGCTGGAGATGCCATAACAGCCCGTAGGGGCGGGCAATAGAATGAACTAACCGAGTCGGGTCGCCAGTGTGCAGGCATAGGATGTTCCATCCAGCATGAGGTACCGACGGTGAGATGCACGGCGAACAGTTCGATCATAGCCCCTAATAGTTCATTACCAACACGTAGCTGCTCCATTTGTCGGGGAGTGACGGCCAGCAAACCCCAGAAATCGGCATGGGACCGTAGGGGGGGAGGGCCTGCATCAGGGGACCAACGGATAGCTGACCACGTCTCACAGGGTGGCCCGCCGCCTGACAAGACAACTCGCCTGGCTCGTATATGCTCCTTCCATACCTCCAGCGTCTCGCGTCGCATCATATTACCTAGTGCTGGGTCGATCGCTATATCGATAGATAAAACCGAAATGGTGAAGTCGGTATGATACTCGGTCCATTCGAGGCAGGCCTGGATGTCACCAGGCCGTCGTCGGCCACAGTATAGGTTAAGCACGAAATATTCCGACCGTCGGATAGCAATGGGCAAATCTTGAGCAGCAATGTCGGTAAACTGCTCGGTCAAGAACATTCGTGTCGGGTAGCGCTCGTGGTAGACCGGTGGTGGTTGGCCTGGCGCAGGGGCATCTCCTTCGGCCACAGCGGGCCGTGGTGGTGGCAGGAGTGTGGCACAAGCCTCTGGAGTGAGATACGGGTCACTTTCCAAAAGGGCTCGGCGGGCATCTTCCTGAGACACCAACGCGGCAAGGTCGAACGCAATCTCGGTGATGGGGCCCGGCGTCCGAACTGTGGGTACGACAACGTGGCGACGAGGGATATGTACGTTGGTGGTATGTCCACGTGGTAGTATCGGTTGGGCAGGTAGCTGTAGGTGGTAGGCTGGATTGTCCATAGTCAGCACTGCAGCCAGCAAGCAGCGAGGCGAATCGATCGACAGATGATCCACTAGATGTGGCCGTGCATTGTACCTGAGCAGACATGTCTGACATACCCCTGACGGGTTGGCATAGCCACGTGCAAGTGTAGTTAGTTGCCTATGTGCACGAGCCACATGTGTGCGTAGCGCCCGATGCCGTGCAAAAGACTGCCCACACCAAGGGCAATCCATACTCTGTGCTGGGGTAGGCGGCGGCTGCTGTATAATACATCCACGTTCGTCGGTGTATACCCGGGGGGGCACTCCCGCAGGGCGTACTTCATCACAGAACTGGGACTCCATGTGTGCTGCAAGTGTGTTGCGCGTCGTGTACTGTGTATATGCATGCACTCCGATGCGAATGATGCGCTTCCAGGCGGGTAGGCTGCGTCGTATGAGGTCCTCCCACGGTTGTAGGTCCTCCTTGGGCGGGGGCAAATCCTGACATTGTCTAGTGGCAAGACGCAACCACTCAAGATCCTGCAACCATTGTCCAAGGGTCGTGCGACGTCGTTTCATGTCGGTGGCGGCTGCATGCCACTCAGCTGCCACAACCGAAAAGGCCAGCAGGGGCCCTGTATGAAACAGTGAACCCAATAGCCGGAGTCGTGCAGCACGTAGTAGGATAGCAGGGGCCGGCCTGCGTAACCTGGCAAGCACCAGAGCGTCGGACACCTGAGACGCGTCCTCGCAGTACCGAACACGGGCAGCTGCGCGATATACCTTCATAGTCTCACCGTGGGCCAGCTTAGCTTCGGCGTCTGACAGTACGGGCCACGCGCCAGCGTTGTATAGTCGTCCGGACAGAACTAGACTATCTGCGAGCACGAGCCTATGGGCGAGGTCTAGTTCGTCCGTTGCAAAAACGCGGCGTCGAAGTACCTGTAGTGACGAGACAGTGGTAGCCGCACGGTAGCGAATCTCGGGCGCCATAGCAGTGCCTGCATCGAATACGGAACCCAGATGCACATAATTATGTACGATCGGCGCACGAAGCGGTCCAAGTACGTCCGATACGCCACAAATGTGCCCATCATGCTCGTGCCATGCCGCATGCCGCGCACGCTTGGTACCGTGTCCACGCCACATAATGAGTGCTGCAGTTTTGGAGGGTCCGAGGTTCAAAATGTGTCCACACCGTGCAAACGCGTCTGAGACAATGACCAGGCAACTGGACAGGGCCCCGTAAATCTGGTCAGCGGGCATGATGAGGATCACGGTGCCGTCGTCTGCATATGAGATATCGACCAAAGGGAGCTCTGCGGGGGGCCTGTCATCGGGGTCCTCGGCGTTGAGTGCTGTGAGGGATCTCTGGGTGGCCATCGGGAGCATGTAGGGATAACCAGCGGTCAGAAGCTTTTCACGCACCTCCTGCATACACTCAGCCATCTGTATCTCGAAGAGCACATCAGCGAGAGGTTGGCC